CGAGTGAGGGCACGTGAAAGCAATTACGTCACGGTGATTGCATCGTCGAGTGCATCGAGGTGCTTCCCCTCGATTATCGCCTGAAAATCACGTCTCGCAGAAATGTCCGCTCGTTTGTCCTTGGTAAATTAGAACATTCGCCTGGCCGATACATAATTATAGACGTTACATCATGTTCCCTTCTTACCCTGAGTAGATTTCGATTCCCGTGAAGAAATCCTGATAGGTCCGCACGTTCCCAAGAAACAAACTCCGAACTGGTTTATTTGAACCTGAGAATCCCACGAATGTTTCTCTCCTTTTTATCGTATAAATTTTATTAAACAATATATAAGTACATTTTATTATTTTGTATTTAATTTAATTTAATCTTCGCAAATCGAATCAACATATTTAAAAATACATAAAGAAATGAATACTAATAATTAATGAAAATTAATGAATATCTCTGAAATTATACTTTCTATATACTCTTATATTATATATATTATATACTCCCATGACAAATTAAAAATCAATATATACAACTACATAATAGAATCAATTTTTTAAAAATCAACAATTACTTAATAATATTTTTTAAATTAACATATACGATATAAAAATTCAAAAAAAATTTTTTAGCATGAGCTATTTATCCGTTTTTCTATTATTTTAATCGAAATCAATAATTTTGAAAAGACAGCGCATAGATGAGATATTACACAGAATATTACACAGAATTCGAAAAATTATTTAAACAGACTCATGAAAAAACTAAATTTCTAAAATCAATTAAATTGAAGCAACGAAATAATATTATATCTTTCGTAAATCGATATATATAATGGACCAATCTTTAAGAAATGTCATTGCGCTTCGTACACGTAAAATAACAAGATCTCTATTCAACCGAATGCCCGGTCGGACACATTGCGTGCACGTGTCGGTAAGAGTAAACGCGTGGTTGAGCGCGTGACTCGACGGTCGAGGCGTGCCCTTCTCTCGATCACGTGGAATGCAACGCGGTGCCTTCTTACTGTCCTCGTCCTACTCACCAATCTCCAACTATCCATCCTCGTCCACGATCCACTGCCGTTGTTGCGAATGCACACGTTTCTCTCTAATTCACAAGTCACGCTAACCTGTTTTCTCTGTCCGAGTCAGCCGACACGTAGGTATGCCGATATGTATGTTCGTTGTGGCGTCTCTTTGCGTGCACCTTTCGGTTGCGAGAAAAAAGAGAAGGCGGCAAGTAATCGAAAAAAAAAAAAGAGAAACATAAAATATTTTTGTTCTTTAAGATTTTTTTTCTATAATATATCGAAATGCAGAATTTGCAATGACATCGATTTATAAGTAAAAGTAAATTATATTTTTATTTCGATAATATTTTTTTTGATATTCGCGACTTTTCTTAATGACTTTTATTCATAAATTATCTGCAGGAAGTAGTATATTTTTCCTTTTTTCTATGTAGAAATTGAAACATTGGATATTTGTGATATTTAAATTTAGGTAAAATTCCATATCAGAGACACTATTACAAAAAAAAACACAAAGCTAATTATAATTGTTATCATAATATTAAAAATAGATTGTCAAAGAATGTTCACTGAAATTAATAATAAATTCTCTTTATCGATACCTATATGTAAGGAAGTCGGCAGTGAGTGACTATTTAAAGCGAACTCCAGAGACACGCACTTCCGGTCTAAATACGCGACTCGAGTGCAAAATCCGGTTTCTAATTACTTTGAGGTCATCTGTTATCTCCGATAGATCGTGATTTATAGTTAATTTTCAAAAGATAATGTACGTAACGATAAGAATTGATGAATAAATGATTGTAAGAAAAACTTATTTTTTTTACATATTCACTATTCATCAAACCATTGATCAAATATAAAAATATAACATATGGTTAATGATAACATATTCAATTTGTATTTGTAAAATTACTCTGTATATGTATATTTTGTAATTTCGAAATTTTTTCAATTATTCAATGAAAATTTTTATTATATATACTAACTTCATAAACTGCTGTTACGTTCATCGTATAACATAATGGAATATTGCAATATGTTGCAATTGATTGCAACAAGATTGTGATATGTCTTTATATGGATCCCTGTACGTAATATGTCCAAGGTAAATCGTTCTAATTTGACAACATCCGTAAAAATCTTGATAAACAAAAGTAAAATGATAGCGTCTAGTAAATAATATGAAACTTATCTTATTTAATGATACAAAAATTATGATGATCAAAATGACATCTGACGAAAACTATAATTTTATTGTTAATTAGATTTTATATATATATATATATATCTTAAGCAAAAAAAATCAAAGCACAATGTGGAATTTCTTAATTTGTTACCTTTTGTTAAAATGTATCCCTAGATAATACGAAGTAAAATATTTAATAAATTGCATTTATGCAGAATATTGTTTTCGAAGTTCAAATTGTATACGATATACAATTATAAGTGTTATCAATATTATTAATATTCATATTTTACAATTCAAAAAATTAGATTCCTGAATGAATACAACCAGTGTTTCATTTTTTTACTAGCATATTTAGAACGGAATGAACGAGCATAAATTAAAAGAATTGATTTCAAATTTTATATAGATAAAATATTAATTTAAAAGAAATTAATATATATATATATATTATATATTATATATATATATATATTACTTTTTAAATATATTAATTCACTTATTCTGGTAATTATTTTTTCTTAAGAACATATTCTTAAATTGAAACATATTCTAAGAATAATACTTTACAACAAATATGCGTATCCAATGGATGCATGCCAAAATTATTAACGTAATCTATTTTTTATCTTTATATACTTTTCAGTTTCAGTATTATTTTTTGTTTAAATGTGCTATATCAATTTATATATGTATGGATATGTATATGTGAAATATACGAATTCGGTTTTTTTAAATATAGCCGAATCATTCTATTCAAAATAAGCAATGCATCGATTTGTAAAAAAAATGCGTTTTTTTTGGTAATTCTTTCTTATTGCATTTACCTTGATTTTCATAACTGTTTCATAAATGTGGTCGTAATTTTTAAAAAATGAATTGAACTGTGTTTATAGCATCGTTATAAGATCATCAAAATTATTTTGATTTTTTCTTTTTGGAATCATATAACTATCAAGTGCATTGACACAACTATATCTGAAGATATTGATACAATAATACCATCTACATAGATTGTACAACAGAAAATATTCTCCTATAAACCAAGTGTTTTAATTTATTAATTCCAGTTTGCTTTTTTATTTATTATTGCATTTTATCATCGACCTTTGCCATCAACGAAATTATTTCTCAAGAAGGGCGCTGGATATTGCAGAATCATCGTTGATCTTAATGTTTACGGTTCTCGAGAGCTAATTATCTTTAAAATTTTTGAAAAATGTTATGAAACGATATTACGACTATATAATGATGTATTTGAAAGAAGAAAAGCGATTATTGAATCAAAATTAAAATACGCAATCATTTTAAAAACTATAAATATCGCTTTCCAATCTAATAAACCCCAACATCTCATTAATATGTTAAAATCTTTAAAAACATATTACACTTTAATATAAATGTATACGGATAAAAAAATACTTAAAAAACATAATTATAAAAAGAATATTAAAATTGAAGACGACTTTGTAAGATAATTATTAAGAATACATAGTGGCTTTGTTTACGCCACCAAGCATGTAACTTCTGACTCTTATCGCTGTGAAACCGGTTTGACGTTGGATTTATTCGGTTTCAATATCTACTGCCGCTGGGGGAGTTCAAGAAGGCAATTCTGACAATTAACAATACCATCGGATGTTGAGATTTTCTTAAATTGAAGAGTTGTTAATTTTAATCAATATTTCTTCCTTTCTTTTCCTCGTTCTTTTTCTATAATTTTTCTATCATTGTGTTTGAACATACAGTATTTATTTATCAATTTATTTTTATGTATCCAATATAGTCATTTATTATATTAACTTACTAAATACAAGTACTTTTTTTAGTTCCATTTTTTTTTTTCCACGTGCGAATGATGACTGCACAATGAAGGTCCTCTTATTCTCTTATACAGACATTTAGCAAATTAGTTTATCACTGTTTTACATTGGAGCAGAATTAATTTTAGTAGATGTTATGTGGAATATAATATATAATGTTGCATATTTAATTCGCGATGGACGTAAACCGTGCGATTGGTCGACTTTGATTAATCTTTTGGTTGTTATTTTTATCAAGATATCTCAAATTAGTAATAGATAAATCATGTATTATCATTAATGGTAATCTTGCCGAAAATCGAGTAGTAGTTTTGTACATAATGTACAAGAGATGCATAAAATCGTATATTTTTTTTGTTGTTTATGCACCATAAAATTTGTAATATTTCTGGTGCATATGTGATCATAAACTTATATATCGCTTGTCTTAATTATAAATTGACAAGTACATAATTATTTTTATAAACAATTCTTCTTTTCTTTCATCATTCACTCGTAGTATTTTCCTCATTTGGAAATATACAGATAAATGGTTTGCACCCACGAATGATCGACACGATATTTAGATGATTATTTTTTGTTTTTTTTTTTGAAATATTTAAAAATATGAAATAATTGATCGTTACTTTTAACGAGAATATAAAATTCTAAAACATATATAGTTATAACTTTGCAATTTCAATAATAAACAATTATTATATAATATTGATATAACGCGATGGGGAAATGGATATAAACTATTCGTTAGGCTAATAGCGATTGAAAAAAATATTAAAATCACCGAATAAAAACATTACATGTGTTATGATTGATTGAAAAAGATTGATTGTTGAAAACTTGTGTCGATTATAATTGTGGGAGCATGCGAATTCATGCTGCATGCGATAATTATATTTCATCGAAACGGTTATAGACAAATTAATTGTTTATCTCGATTATATTCAGTCCCGTTCGCCTCTTTCCTCGGCACGTTCTTCCGCTCTCGCTTTCATTCTAGTTATAAATGCTTGACCTTTACTCTTTCTAAAGTTCTCATATGGATCATTTAGATTAATACCGACGCCTTTATACTGATCATTTTTATCTCTAATTTCACCTCCCGATATTGGAGCTTCAATACCCTGTTCATTGGCACCAAGTCCCGCACCTCCCCAACCCATCTTTTTGAGCAACTGATGACCTTTGTTACTTTCGTCGAGGCTAATTTCTTGAGGAGCTTTACTGTAAGTTGATCCGCTAAAAAAAAATTAATTCTTTTAGAAATTGAACTTTCATACATATCATTTTCTATTAGTATTAATAATACTTACAGAAAACTGGGCGGAGTTGGACTTCGATCTTGCCTATCCATTCTCCTATCAGGACTTCGATCCTTGTTGCTATTTCTCCTTCTTCTGCTTCTGTTATTATGATTGCTGTTACGACTGTTACGTCTGTGATTGGCAGCGGGAGATCTAGATCTGCTTCTACCTCTAGATCTTGAGCGTGATCTACTTCGCGATTTACTTCGATATCGTTTCTTTGGTGGACTAGGACTTTTAGATCTTGGCCTTAGAATTGGTGATGGCGATTTTGATTTTTGTCTTATACCAGCTATTATATCTTCTTCTTTACGTTTACGTGCGGCATTTTTTGCTTTGTAATACTCGTATAAACCTAATTTTTCCCAACCGTCACTGTAATTACAATATAATATTATAATATAAAATTTAAAAATCTATATAAAATTTAAAAGTCAATATTTTCATTATATCTTACCTGTCCCGTGGAGAGTCATGATTCGGTGGTGCATAAAATGCTTCGACAGCAGCTACTAGTCGTTCGCTTGGAGGGGCAGGAGGTGGTAGTCTAATAGCTTCTGGATCCAAAGGTTTATATTCAGCATCTTCTAATTTGATTAAGGGCACCATCAAGCCAGCAGGAAGTTCGTAATAAGGCATACTGGGCATTAAATCTTCAACAGAGGGCTCGTGTATAACAGGTGGTGGACCAAATCCAGGTGGAGGTTTTGAAAAGTCTGGTAATGGAACATTTGAAAATGGTGGAGGTTCATTTCCAGGTGGTACACCCCATCCAGGTGGTGGTTGACTGAAATTTACATCTGTGCTTATTGGAGCTGGAGGACCGGAATGACTAGGTGGCATAGACATATTCTGTTGATTCTGTAAAATAAAACATTTCATATTATATATTATATATACATATATGTAAAATATGTATAAGAGATAAAATTAACTTACCAATTGTGGTGGTGGTGGAGGAGGAGCTTTCAATTGTTGATCAATTGCAATTTTTTGTTGCTCGATATTTTGAATTTGTCTTAAAGCATGTGTAACAAATGCTTGATGTTGTGCTTGATAATTATCAAAAGTTTGTTTTGTTGATGTAGTGATTGGTGTAATAGCGCTGGCATGTTGTGCAACCAAGTTAGCCTGATATTCAGACCAAGATGTACTTGGTTGTTTCAATTTATCTATAATTCCTTCATCAAAGTAATTATTTTTTGACTCCCACAAACTTAATAGTTTATTTAATTTATTAAGTTGTTCTTCTGATGCAGCTAGTGAAGTGTTACAGAACATGGGAACAACAACACTTTCCATCGCCTTGCGAAGATCCATAGATTTTTTTCTTGCACTAAAGAAGTTTAAAATTAAATATCGTGCACGACTAATTTCATAAAAATTATCAAACTTTATAATTATAAATATTATTTATACTGAAATTGAAGTATTAAATCTTGCATTCAATAAGTAAAATATACTTTAATTTAAAAAATTCGATCTCTACAAATATTGCAAAATAAAAAATTTGCAGTTATAAATAAATATTATACTTACCAATGATGTAAGACATCGTTGACCAGATAGATGATGTGAAGTTTATGACTAAAATTTGTTGCCTGAATCACTCTGAAAAAGATAAATAGAAATTAATATATACACATATATATTTTTTTAATATTAATATTATATTATTAAAATCGAATATAATTTTTACTTTTTCAGCAAGTGATCCGCAACGACTTGATTACTTTGCGGAGTAACCGAATTTTGGAGTATCCAGGCTTTTCCTGCACTTATACTATCCTTTGTGCAGCTATCAATAATAGGCTGTAATACTGCATCAAATGCAGTAAGATCTGTATTTGTGCTTTGTGCACTATTTTGTAAAGCTGTTTCTTGAGCTTGTCTCACAGCATCCTCAACCCTTCCTTGTTGTTGTGCCATCAATGCAGCATGTTGCGCAGCCAAATTTTGTTCTGATTGTCTAACTTGTTCCTGTAACGTGGTCTGCTGTGACTGAAGGTTTGCTAACTCATTTTGAAGCCATCCAGGAGGTCCTCCAATGTTAACCGGTTGATTCACACCACCAATAGATGGATTCACACCTCCCATAGCACCAGGAACTGGTCCAATTGGCGGTCCTGCATTTCCTGGCCCTCCAATTTGTCCTGGTACTCCAGGTATAACCGGACCACCTTGATTTCCCACTGGTCCAATTCCCACAACCGGGTTTAATCCATTGTTTTGAGTATTTAGGCCAGGTGCAAGATTGACGTTATTCAGTGGCTGCGCGACGGTAACGGCTGTTTGCTGCTGCTGCGAAACGTTTAAACGTGGGTCTGCATTTTGCATTGGATTTATTCCTTTTTGCTTTAAAACTGTAAACGAATGACGGTGAATTATTGTAAGATGTTTGATTCCTTCAATGGATATTGAAAAAGTATACAAATAGTCCAATTTCTGTTGAGTCTTATCTTCTACCAGTGCATAATAAAATTCTTGGCATTTATGAGAGAATTATATTGAAAATTCGGTAAGTCTTTTAGGAGCACTATAATCTTTCCCTGTATTATATTTATATATATATATACATGTATTTTTTACTTTTTTTTTTACAGTACTAGGGTATTACAGGGTATTAGTGGGTTATACTTCCCACATAGATTGAAGCAATATATCAATAATGTAGTCCATATTAGATAAGCTCCAGTAAGAATCTTAAAACTACATCTTCTTAAAATCACCATTGCCAAGAAATAGAATATGTCTTTAGCTAAAGCATTCTGCTTAATAAATAGTAATTCCAAAATCTTGAAATCAAGTGCTCATATTCGATGAATAATAGTTTTGTATGTTCACTATGACGAATTCAGACCCTTTCACCCGTATCTCTTTTTCAAAGTCATTCCTTGTTCGTCGAATAAAGCATGGCCATTATGCTTCTCAATTGTTGTAGCTGTTAAGGGGCTGTATCCCACTTACTGGCTTGCTCTGTAGTCACTTTGTATTGATAGTAGTTGAAGTGCTCTCCACCGAACAGGAAACCAAATTTTGGGTTGTCCTTCTGCTTGTTTTTTGTCATCTGCTCGAACTCTGGTCCATTGCGAGCCACGAACTGAGCCAGTTTGTCTATGATGTTCCGTAACTCTGTATCTGGGTATTATACCAAAATGAAAAGAATTAGTATGATACCCTAACAACAATGAGTTACTTATACAATTATTACGATATAAAAGGCAATATTTAAATACAGTACTGAAATAGGATCTCTTATTTTTAAAGTATGCAGTCCTAAATCAGCCCATCGTAACCTGAAATATTGAATCTGTTTTGTAACTTATCACTTTGTAAATATATCTACGGAGATTCGCTTGAGGAGAATTTAACTCGTCGAGTGAATAGCTTTTTAATGGTAGCCTAATACGTTGCACAGGTTTACATAACCTACTATTTAGAATCTACATTTTGTCTTTTTTAAACATATCTCATTATTTCCATTGCGTGGAAACTCACAAATCCTCAATTCTGACTAACTAAAATGCTAGAACGATAGATCATAGATATTACGGTTAATAAAAAAGATGGAACGTTATGCTCGCCCGGAGTGGGAATGTGCAAGACCGCGCTTGGCCAAATCGCCAAATCACAACATTCTTTTCTTACCTGCAGGTGCCTGGTCCATTATCGCGATTACTCTTTTACTTTCACACTGAATTCAATTACGTTTATATTTACTTTTGTTAATACTTTTCCGTACACGATCGTTGTACGGATCCGGAAAACATTATTTTTTTACACTGAATACGACAACGCTAGACGTCGCCATTAATTTCGGAGTATTCATGCTTCAAAAGATCACCGCCAGAGCCGCTGACAAACCAATTCAATCACATGCGGAAATTCCTCCATTTCGGCTCATTTTCATTTACACTATAGAATTTACTTTCTTGTTAATTTTTTATATATATCATATTCACGTCGATTCTCTGTGCAATAATTTTGATCGGTAAGTATTTACAGCAAAATATATTTAAAATGGATCACCAAATTTCTGTTTGCACATTAATTTTATGATCTTATAGCTTAAACATATTTTTTTGTTATTATATTCATACAACATTAATAAATTTTTTTTATTATATTATTTTTATTTATTGTTCATTTATTAAATTTTAATTATTTTTTTATAAATTATGATTAAATAGCTTTTTAATCAATATTATCAATATTCTTGTTTTATTTATCAATTCTAATTTACTAATCTAACCTATTGTGTCGCATCTGTCACATTATTAAAAATAATTTTTAATCAATATAATTTTTCATTCATTATTAGACAATAATATAAAAATATTATTTATATTAATTTTTAATTAATTTTTATTTATGTTAGTTGAATAAATTTCTGGAATGCCTGTGGCAGAAGTAAAATCTAGTTGGGCTGATGAGGTTGAAGAAGAAGGAGGAGCATTACCTCCACCTTCAGAATCTTATGAAAATGGCTTTAAAATTCTTACTGAATATAAATATAATCAAGACAACAAAAAAGTCAAAGTTGTTCGTACATACAAAATAGAAAGACGTGTAGTTTCAAAAACTATAGCTGCTCGTAAAAATTGGGCCAAATTTGGAGATTCTGCGGATGACAGACCTGGACCTAATCCTGCTACTACAGTTGGCGGTGAAGATGTCTTCATGCAATTTATTTCCAGTAAAGAAGAAGAAAATAAGGTTGAAGAAGATACTCTTGAAAAGTTAAAGAATATGGGAGATAAAGGTGTAGTTAAATGTCGTAATTGCAATGGAGATCATTGGACATCCAAATGTCCTTATAAAGATACTGTTCTTGCTGGAGGTATTTTTTATCATTATGAATTACTATTTGTAAAAAAATTATTTAGAATTTTTCCATTTTATATATGGAAAATGTGGATTAATTTGCAGGTAAAGTACCAGATGATAAGAAACCTCTTGTTAATACTGGTGCTCCTGGAACAATGACAGAATTGAAACCTCAAGGTAGTAAATACATACCACCTGGTATGCGTGATGGAGGAAGCAAACGTGGAGATTCTATGCAAATGCAAAGACGTGACGATACTACCGCTATTCGTATTTCTAATTTGTCGGAAAGCACTACTGATGCAGATTTGGATGAATTGGTTAAGCCATTTGGATCTGTACTGAAGTTTTATCTTGCTAAAGACAAACAAACTAATCTTTGCAAAGGATTTGCATATGTACATTTCAAATATAGGATGGAAGCTGCAAAAGCTATTGCTACACTCAATGGTTATGGTTATGATCATCTTATTTTGAATGTAGATTGGTCAAAACCACAGCAGCAAAACAATTAAAATATTCAATTCAATAATTTTTGTTATCTGGATTTCATCTGTAAAAATATAGAAAATACGCAATTATTTAATCTCTACATCAGGAACAGTATATTATAGCGTACATTATTTCAATTTTTGGTGTATTATGTATCAAGAATGAGTACAGTAAACATATTCATAAGAATTTCCATTGATAGTATTAATAAAATTTTTATCAAATTATATTTCATTGAATTAGAATAATTTTTTTGTTTCCTGATGTCACGATTCATTGCCATTTTTTATTAATTCAAGTTCTTGCATTCGTTATTGTAAAAATATAATTTCTATTCCTTAATATTCTTGTGATAAAAAATAAATAATATAAAATTATCATAAAACTTTTTATTTATTCATTAGATAATAGTAATATCCATTCTAAATATCTTAGATCTTTTCTGTTTGTTTCAAAAGTAATTGAAATTTTATTAAAATATGATACATAAAGTTGATAATCTGATCTTAAATTACATTGTAATATTACTCAAGTATTACCCACGTAATGTATATAAAGAGATATAAATCAATTTTTATATATAGAATATAATATATATATATATATATTTTTATATATAGAACTTGTCTAATAACGCTATCTCTTTATAAAATACTCAAACATATCGTAAATGTTATCGATAGAGTAAATTTTTTTTAATGGATCTTAATAAGAGGCGACATCTTTTTTCAGAATATTAAAATTAAAAGAAAAGAGGTTTCAGCATTTTTCAAAGAGATGGCGGTATTAATCAAAGACTTTAAAAAAATTTACCTTATCAACAATAATGATATTCCATATGTTTTAATATTTTTCGAAGAGATAGCGCTACTAATTAAAAAAAATAATTTATTTTTTAATCTTTTTTTTTTTTTTTTTTT